GGGGAAAAGCAGGGAAGCGAGGCTGGCAGGTAAAGGGTTTGTTCCCTCGCAAGACTCTCCGGCCTTCCCTGGGGTGCCACACAGCCCCGGAGAACCGAACTCCTTATCCGCTTCCCGCCTCGCTCCCCCGAGCAGAAAGGCGCCCCAGTCCTCCCGCACGCGACTCGCTCCCATTAGGCCCCAGACCGGAAGTTTCTGATTGGCGGAAGCAGGGAAGCGAGGCTGGCAGGTAAAGGGTTTGTTCCCTCGCAAGACTCTCCGGCCTTCCCTGGGGTGCCACACAGCCCCGGAGAACCGAACTCCTTATCCGCTTCCCGCCTCGCTCCCCCGAGCAGAAAGGCGCCCCAGTCCTCCCGCACGCGACTCGCTCCCATTAGGCCCCAGACCGGAAGTTTCTGATTGGCGGAGAAGCAGAAGCCCCGGGTGAAAAGAGCTTCGAGGGCCACAGGCGAAACCAACGCCGTACGGCAAAATGGCCACCTCCAAGTAGTTTGGTCGCCCCGCGGGGACAAGCCCCGCCCAGCACAAAATCGGAAGTCGGGAGAAAGCTATAGACTAGGTAGGCTCGTCGCCGCTTTCTGCCAGCGGAAGGCTGTGTTCCGTACAACAACATGGCCGCTACCAGGTGCGTTAAGGCGGAAACTCGGCTGCTTCCGGTCCGTAGTGGGGCCTGCGGTGGGAGGGGGAAGGAAGGCGGAGAGAACCATGCGAGGTTCTGAGCTCCGCGGTGAGGGTCGCCTCGAGAGACCGTTTTTGAGGTGGGGGCCGGACTGTGCGGGGAGCGAAGGCGGGAGCGGGGATGTGCGGGAGAGGTACGGTGTTGGGGAAAGACCTGGGGGGCTGAGTGTGAGGAGTAACGTATGGCAGCTTTCTCTCCCTGAAGGGGAGTGGGGCGGCCGCGGCTGAGCGGGGTGGGGGACTTGGCGGGAAGCTCCCATACCTGTCTGGCCGGGCTAGGCTTGGGACCGAGAGGAACTAGGGAAGCCCAGTGGTGGGCTTAGGGTCGGCTACCAGTCCAAGAGAATGGGGGAAATCAGGGTGGGGTGGGAGGGAGGGGACTTGGGGAAAAATTTCCAGCCTGAAGTCCGGGTTGGAGGAAACCCGAGAGGGTGAGATCAGGACATCATTCAAGGGGCGGCGGGAAGAATGGCTTGTTGGGTGAGAACCTTTTCGGCCGAGTCTGGGAGTTGGGGCGACCATTGCGGGCGGGGCGTGGGTCTGCCATGTGTCGGGGCGAAGGGGAGCCCACTGGGGTGTCGGGGACATGGGGTGCGGCCTGGGAGCTGGCGCTGGGATTGGGAGTAAGGAGCAACTTGGCAGCTGGGAGAGAGAGTGGAGAAACGCAACTGAGAAAGACCGGAAATCGCCGTGAGGGGTGGAGCCGGGGGAGGAGCCTAGGGCTTGGGGAAGGTTTGCCCTCTCTGCCCCCAGTACTTGAGGGGCCTGAAAGGCTTCTAGAGCCGAGTCCTGGTAGAGAGGCGGTGAGGGTACTCACCGTTGGGTAGGGCTCGGTGTTGAGAAGCCAGGGTGATTGGAAACCGAGCTGGAGGGATGGGGCTGTGCCGGAGGGGCTCTTCCTGAGGCCCCATCCCCTTTTAGCAGGAATTCTGAAATCCCCAACACTTCCTCCCTCCGGAGGATTTAATCCCCCATGGCCACGGCTAACAGCATCATTGTGCTGGATGACGATGACGAAGATGAAGCAGCTGCTCAGCCAGGGCCCTCCTCCCACCCACCCCCCAATCCGGCCTCACCCAGGGCAGAAGCCCCTGGCTCCTCTGAGTCCCCTGGGGCTGGAGGAAGCACTAGTTCGGGCGGCAAGAAATGCTACAAGTTGGAGAATGAGAAGCTTTTTGAAGAGGTGAGTTTTGGGGGAGAAGATTCTTGCACCCCAGGGCGGGGGCTGGCTGAGTGGCTCTCCTGACCCATCTTCCCCACTAACCTGCCTCGCCTTCTTCCTCTCAACCCCTTCCTTCCCTTGTCTTTTCTCCCCCCTCCCTTCTTTTCCCTGAACTCTCCAGTTCCTTGAACTGTGTAAGATGCAGACATCAGACCACCCCGAGGTGGTCCCGTTCCTCTGTAAACTGCAACAGCGGGCCCACCCTCTGTTTTTGGCCTCCGCCGAGTTCTGCAACATCCTGTCCCGGGTCCTGTCTCGGGCCCGCAGCCGGCCGTCTAAGCTCTACGTGTACATCAACGAACTCTGCACTGTTCTCAAGGCCCACTCTGCCAAGAAGAAGCTCAACGTGGCCCCTGCTGCCGCTGCGTCCAGTGAGCCTTCTGGGAGGAACCCTCCCACAGACCCCTCCTCAGACCCTGCCAATGCGGAAGCTGCTGTCTGTGAGGCTCCAAGGACCCGTGGTTCCCGGAGGCAGATCCAGCGCTTAGAGCAGCTCCTGGCACTCTATGTGGCGGAGATCCGGAGGCTGCAGGAGAAGGAGCTGGACCTCTCAGAACTGGACGACCCCGACTCCACATACCTGCAGGAGGCCCGGTTGAAGAGGAAGCTGATCCGCCTGTTCGGGCGTCTGTGTGAGCTCAAGGAGTGCTCTTCACTGACAGGGCGAGTCATCGAGCAGCGCATCCCCTACCGGGGCACCCGCTACCCTGAGGTTAATAGGTGTATCGAGCGGCTCATCAACAAGCCAGGGCCCGATACCTTCCCCGACTATGGAGATGTGCTGCGGGCCGTGGAGAAGGCAGCTGCTCGACACAGTCTGGGTCTTTCCCGACAGCAGCTCCAACTCATGGCCCAGGATGCCTTTCGAGATGTGGGCATCAGGTTACAGGAGCGACGCCACCTTGATCTCATCTACAACTTTGGCTGCCACCTCACAGATGACTATAGGCCAGGTACTGGGTCAGTGGGGGCAGATCAGCGACCCCTCAGGTCAGAAGTGCGGTGTGGGCGGGGCATCTCTAATCTCTTCTCCAGTTCTGGGCTGTGTGCTCTAACATTCTCTCTTCTCACATAGGCATTGACCCCGCGCTGTCAGATCCTGCGTTAGCCCGGCGCCTACAGGAAAACCGGAGTTTGGCTATGAGCCGGCTGGATGAGGTCATCTCCAAATACGCAGTGATGCAAGACAAAAGTGAGGAGATGGAGAGACAGAAGAGAAGGGCCCGGGTCTCCCAAGGCACTGCTTCCCGCTCTGCAGGCTCCCCCAAAGCCGCCTTGGATTCTGGCGAGG